TTAGTCAATATTTATGACTGAATGTCAGTCAATATTTGCCTCTGAAACCTTATCCAATATGTTTTCACAAGAAAATCGTTCAATATTAACAAAAAAAAATGATCAATTTTTATAAGAAAATCAGTAAATATTTGAAAGAGAAAAAAAATGTTATTCCTTATAATCGAAGGTGGGATTTTTCAGTTATTGCGTGTAGAAGATTGTTATTTACGGTCAGACTTTTATATTAAATTGAGAGATAGATATGAATTCGAAGAAGTTGAATCGATTAGAAAAAAAAGAGTAGTAGAAAAAAAAGTACTAGAAAAAGGAAGTTTATGGGATTTTCGAAAGATTGCATCCATATTAGGAAGCACGTAGAGGAATGTTGAGGCAAGAGTAGAATCAAGATGAGAGGTGGGGTTAGAAACCCACTCGACAGAGGAATTTTTCAAGATATCGAAAAACACTTTAGATCCCATATTGTGGAGAGAGAGAGAGAGAGAGATGACTGAAACGAGAAAAAGAGGGGAGGTCACCGTTGATATTTCATTTCTATTGACTTCCCCTTGCGGTTCCAAGCTACTCTCCTTGGCCCCGTTCCATCGTTCCTGCCACTCAGCTATGAATACATAATTGAGATCTAACCCCACCCCGCAAAAAGAAAATCCCCTTTACATACATATATATATATATCGCGAGTATTTCTTGAATCCCTCTTTTTTACAAGTTCCTTTTTTTTATTTACTTGTATACATCACAAAACAGATTTTTGACAATATTCTCGTGACAAATCATTTTATTTATTTATTTAAAATCATTTATTTATTTATTTAATAATAAATGAAATAAAAATTTTATTTTATAAATAATTGCACACTGAAAAAAAAATTATTTAATTCAAATAATCGGTTACTTTACTATTATCAAATAAATATTATTACCCAAGTAAATATTTATAATAGTCTAATAGGCGGTTATTTGAATCAAATAAAAATTTTTTTTTGCAATTTTTTATTATTTAAAGCAAAAATTATATATGTGTACACTTAATAAAAAGTAAAGAAAAAACAATTATTTTCGATTGTTATTATAGAAAATAGCAAAAAAATATTTTTTAAAAAAAAAAATTCCAAAATAAGAGAGAATTTTTAAATCAACAATTTGTCGTTACTTTTATAATAGAGAATATTTTAGAGGCACTTTATATTCTGCAATATTTACGTCAATTACCAAAGCAATAATGGACGATATAAACTACAAAAAAAAAAATTGTATACTAAAAAGCACGTGCCAAAAAAAAAAATTACTACTTTTTATTTGACGTGAAAATTATTTTTAAATTTCCATATTAAAAAACATGAAAAAAAAATTCTTGCTTTCTTTGTTATTAAATAATTTCTCTATTTTGATAATTGTATTTAATTAATTCATTATTTCTATAATGATTTCAACAAGTTTATAGAAGTTGGGGTGAATAAAAAACAAAATTGTAATTGACCATTCAGAAAAGAATTTTAGAGTAAAATTCATTATAGTCGACGATATCTTTTCTGTAATTGCTAAAAGCTAAGTATGATCGGAACGTTAATCAGTTTAATGGGAGAGCACGTTAACAGTAATTCTGTGTAAGAGGCGTTGATGCCATTGTAGCACTTAGCAGTTGTTCCATGGTAGGATATCTAGCTCAGCATGTCGGTCGATGTATGTAGGTGGAATGCTTGCTTACTTGGTTGCTTACTTGCTGCCTGCCTGCACACTTGCTTGCCGAACTCTCGCTTCTCATAGTGAACAGGGGTTATATATATATATATAGTATATATAAATGCATGTACGTCTAGACGGAAACAAGGGATGCGTTTATCCTTTGAAATACTGTTTACAGCATCATATGTACCATAAACTACTTCTTAACTTTTTTCATAAATATTTCGTCCAAGTTAATATTATATTCAATGTCTAAATTCAAATTCTACACGGAAAAAAAATTTTAATAATAGCGATAAGTTTTACTGAAACAACGATATATTTCACTAAAACAACTAAAGTTTTCGCTATTCTAGAGAAACATATCGCTGTTTTAGATAAATTTTTTTTCCTAGTAGTTAGAGATAGTTTCAGTCAGACGGTGGTTTTAATTCGTGTTATTTTTGTAGCAGTAGTAAAATACAATTATAGGCAGTAGTAAAAGTCGTTTTTAGTCAGACGGTATCAATTTTTTTTGATATTTTAGTGTCAGTAGGGAAGGTATGTTGCAGTCAGACGACGGGTTTAATTCAAGTCATTTTTGTAGCAGCAGTAAAATACAATTGCAGTCAGTAGTCAGTTATTCGTAGTAAATGTAAGTTTTAATGATAGAAGTTTTAATTTTTGCAAAAATTTCGTTTCAGTAGTAAAAGGACGATTGAGTCAGACAAATCTGTATTTTCTGAAAAAATCGATATCAGTAGTTAAAGACAGTTTTAGTCAGTCAAAATTTGTCCAAAGTTTCAGTGATATCAAATCTTTTCTGGTAAATATACTTGTAATTTTAGAATAAGTAGTAAAACACAGTTTTAGTCAGACAATTTTTTTTCAATTGCATAAAAATTTTGTTATCCGTAAATGTAATTTATATATATCTTTTGTTTCAGTAGGGGAAGAAAGTTATAGTTATAGGCATAATTTTTTTAAATTCTGTTTCTTTCGCAGTAGTAAAAGTAAGTTTCAGTCAGACTTTTGAATTATTTTTTCCCCATTAGTATATGAGAATAAATAATGTCTAATATCTACAAAAATTAAAACACAATAGATTCCTTCGTATAAAAATTAAGTCTACAAAAAAAAAATTCAGTTTCGTTTTTTTTTTTTGCAAAGATTTTTTCTTGATAAGTCAGTTATTTTTTTTGAAACTAAAAATGGAAAAAAAGTAACTCGATTGTCATGAAATTGAAATAGAATTTAGAAATCAAAAAAGAAGTTGTATTGTTCTTGGAACGTGTATAGTAGCGAAGCAATGTTGCCTTTTACACGTACCAAGTCTATCCTTGGTGTATTCTTGACATGTCACAGGCAGGCAGGCAGTGCGGACGGTAATAAATTCTCCGCAGATGGAAGAACGGCCTGTTGCAGAGTCTATGTTTACTTGTGGGCCTTTTATTGCACTATCGTTTATATTTCACTGTGAATGACACTCGCAGACTACTAAACTCTTACTCTCTTTCTTTCTCTCTCTCTCTTTATCTCCTGAGAATTGTGCCTTTGTCTTTTAAGTTGCCTTAAAAATTATATCAACCCGAAGACATTTTTATGAAATAATTATTAGCAATGAAAAAAAATTTTTCTATTTATTTTTTGTATATCCCAGGTGAAAAAATTAACGTTACTAACGTTACTAATGTTACTAACATTACTAATGTTACTAAAGTTCGTACCTATAAAAAAATTAAGAGTTTCTAAAATATATTTTCACAGAAACTTTGACACTACTTTCCCATTACCACTTTCACTTCCACTTAAACTTTTTATAATTTTCATTCCCATTTCCACTTATACTTTTTCTAATTCTCATTCGCACTTCCATTCTCACTTCTACTCTTTCTAATTCTCATTCCCACTTCACTTCCACTTTTTCTAATTTTCATTCCCATTCCTATTTCCACTTCCAGTTTTTTATATTCATTGCCACTACCACTTTTTCTAATTCTCATTCCCACTTTCACATTTCACATTCACATTTCACTTTCACTTTCCCACAATGGAAGTGCGAATGAGAATTAGAAAAAGTGGATGTGGTAATGTAAATAAAAAAGTGGATGTGAAAATGGGCATGAAAATTATAAAAAGTGGAAGTAAAAATGGGAATGAGAATTAGAAAAAGTGAAAGTGGAAACGGTAATGAAAATAAAAAAGTGGAAGTGATAATAGAAATGAAAATTATAAAAAGTGCGGGTAAGAACATTAAATACTTCCTGATGGTCGATTTTCGACAAGTTTCTGCAAAAATACAATTTAGAAAAATTTTCTTAATTTTTTTTTATAGGTACTAACGTTAGTAACATTAGTAACGTTAGTAATATTAATAACGTTAGTAATGTTAATTTTTCTACCTGGGATTCATTCCTATTATATATTTATATCGTTCGTAAAACTGAATAATAATTATATTATTACACTGAGAAAAAAGGTTTGAGCTGACAACCAAATATTTCATTTAATATATGTGCAACTAAAATTTTTTGGTTGACACAACTAAACTTTAGTTGACATCAACCAAAGTTTGGTTGAGACTACCAAATTCTTTTTCATTTTCTTATTTAGTCGTCTGAAACAAACTTTGGTTGTTGTCAACTAAAGTTTAGTTGTGTCAACCAAAAAATTTTAGTTGCACATATATTCAATGAAATATTTGGTTGTCAGCTCAAACCTTTTTTCTCAGTGATATTTTTATTGACGTATAAATGGAAAAATGATTGGAATCTTTATAATTACAGAAAGATCAAGATATTATTTTGTATTATAATGACATTCCTATCAATTTTTTTTTTATCATCATAATTGAAAAACATTATTTTTCCAAACATTTGCAATTGAACTGGTTTCATTCCGAAAATTGCGAATTTAATTAGAGGTTGCGGCATTTCAAGTTCTCATGGTATTTTTGCAGTAATGAAGGAAATGTGTTTTGCAGAACACGAGTTGAAGTTCTTAATTCATTTTATTTTTCCCTTGATGCAACTATTCTTTCTTTGTATTTTGCCTTATATATATATATATAGCAAAGGATGTTGAAAAAAAGTGATTATGCGTACGTGCAGTAATGACGGTGGAATCGCATGTTTCTTTCTTAAGAGCTTTTTTATGACGCAAGAAGATCGAGAAAGACGTCAGATACTTTGAAATTTTCTTTTTCTAGTTTTTTTTTATATATAACTCTATATATGTATATATATATAGAAAGACTTTTAAAGGAAAAGAAAAGCTCGTTTCTCCACTACCTTTTAAACTGTGACAAATGAACCTGGCGTAGCCAGCCAACTTACCGTTAGGCGGGAACTCGTAGAAGAACGCGGATCTCGGGCTCAGACAACTGGAACAGAGAAAATTACGGTTAAAATATGCTAACAATTAAAGCACCGCTACTGCTTGGTTGGCTCCCTAGTCGCTGGGAGCCAACGATCTCTATTTCTCCCTTTCTCTCTTTCTCTTCTTCCTCCTCAAGTATTTACTTTTTTTTTTTTTTTTAGATTTTTTGCCTCTCTCTCTCCCTCTCTCGATTTACCACTACTAGCCAGAACTTCCGGTCTTGGCACTGTGCTCAGAACTACGATTTCCAGCAAAATACTGTTGCAAAGAGGAAAAACACGAGTCTATTAAACTTATTAACCGGGACGTAGCCGCTTTAATTTGAGATAAATGGATGTACTGGCCTGAGTCAAATGCCACCTGTTTTCTCTACACTATTTCGCAAAAATTAAGGATTTATAACATTCAAAGTTTCAAACTTGGTGTTTTTCTCATTATGTTCACTTTTTATACCCAAGTAAATTTAAATTAGTCCAAAAAAAAAGAAGGACTTATTTAGTTAATTCCAAAAAAATTTTAATTTGATATAATAATAAAACTAATATATTTAATTTTAAATTTTTGCAAATTTAATTCCACAAGATTTAATTTATATAAAAAATTCAAATTTATTTAAATTCAATAAAAATTAGTGGATTCGAGTAAATATTTATTCGGTTTTGAGTAGTTTCCAAAATGGAAAAATATATTTTTTTCTTTCTTCATTATGAACTTTATCGACATAAAATAAGAAGGGAAAAAGCTATGAAATCGTTTCTGTATTTATATATATATAAGACAAAAAAAAAAAAAAACCTACCCCATCAAATTGTCTTACAAAGCAATTCTCGCGCACTGTCTGGGGAGTGATTGACCTAGTCAGCAGAGGAACGATACGGAATCGGTAATAGTTAGCAATAGACTGATAGAGTAGAGAACATATATAGTGAACCGAAATGCTAACCGCATACTAATGAGATCCTTTGACGAAAAGCTAACATCTCAATGGAGAAACTGAGTTACGAGTCCTGCCGCCTACACCGTCAGTAAGAGAAGGCGATTGCTTCGAGTGGTCCTTGTTCAAGAAGCATCGAACTCAATTCCATTGGTATTACTATTACTATGGTTACCGAATAACATCTCTTCTCCCCTCACTCTCTCGTTTAAAGCTATTTACTCATCACAAGCAATGTCAAATGCGTTTCTTTGCAGTTAAATAATTTTCATTCATTTTCTCCTCGTTTCATTCACATTTTTTTTCTAAAAATATATTTTTTTAATCTATTTTTTTTATTGAAAACTATTTTTAGAAAGAAATCTATTTTTCTATTATTACGGGGGTCGTTTACGTAATTTCATTTCCACTTTCATTTTCACATTTATCCTTACCTTCCACTTTCACCATTCCACGTTAACTTTCACCCTTTCTCTTTCTGTTTCTTAATTTACTTCCACATTCAACCTTCTAATTCCACTTTCATTATCTACTTTCACTTTTAACATTATATTTCCACTTTCAACCTTCTAATTCCACTGTCATTATCTACTTTCACTTTTAACATTATATTTTTACATTCAACCTTCTAATTCCACTTTCATTATCTACTTACACTTTCCCCATTTACCTTCCACTTTCAATCTTCTAATTCCACTTTCATTATTTACTTTCACTTTTAACATTATATTTCCACATTCAACCTTCTAATTCTACTTTCATTATCTACTTTCACTTTTAACATTATATTTCCACTTTCAACCTTCTAATTCCACTTTCATTATCTACTTACACTTTCCCCATTTACCTTCCACTTTCAATCTTCTAATTCCACTTTCATTATTTACTTTCACTTTTAACATTATATTTCCACATTCAACCTTCTAATTCTACTTTCATTATCTACTTTCACTTTTAACATTATATTTCCACTTTCAACCTTCTAATTCCACTTTCATTATCTACTTTCACTTTTAACATTATATTTCCACTCTTCACCTTCTAATTCCACTTTCATTATCTACTTTCACTTTTAACATTATATTTCCACTCTTAACCTTCTAATTCCACTTTCATTATCTACTTTCACTTTTACTATTTTACTTACACTTTCACACAGAAAAAACGCTGGTTAAATTTTGTTGCGGGTAATTTTAACTAATGCTAATTCACATAGACGGTGGCGCCCTCAACTAGGATAAAATTTGTTGCAGTTAATTTTTATACCGATTTTGGGGTAAAAATTCTACTTTTTTTTTAGTGTGGCAGTATTCAATTTCTATTTTCACTTTCTACTTTCACTTTTACCATTTACCTTCTACTTTAAATCTTCCAATTACACTTTTACCCTTCTACCTTCATTATCTACTTTCACTTTTACCATTTTACTTCCACATTCACTATTCTACTTTCACTTTCATTTTTGCCATTCCACTTTCGTGAATGTTGAACAGTGAAAGTGGAAGAGGAAGGTTGAAAGTGAAAGGTAAATTGTGAAAGTGGAAGTAAAATGATAAAAATGAAAGTAGATAATAAAGGTGAAAGGGTGTAAGTGTAATTGGAAGATTGAAAGTGGAAGGTAAATGGTGAAAGTGTAAGTGGAATTATAAAAGTAGAAATAGAAAGTGAAAGTGGAAATAGTGAAAGTGAAAGTAGATAATAAAGGTGAAAGGGTGTAAGTGTAATTGGAAGATTGAAAGTGGAAGGTGAATGGTGAAAGTGTAAGTGGAATTATAAAAGTAGAAATAGAAAGTGAAAGTGGAAATAGTGAAAGTGAAAGTAGATAATAAAGGTGAAAGGGTGTAAGTGTAATTGGAAGATTGAAAGTGGAAGGTAAATGGTAAAAGTGTAAGTGGAATTATAAAAGTAGAAATAGAAAGTGAAAGTGGAAATAGAACGGTGAAAGTGGAAGTAAAAGTGAAAGTACATAATAAAAGTGAAATTGGAAGGTTGAAAGTGTAAATAAATTATAAATCTTGAAGAAAAATGGTAAAAGTTAACGTGGAATGGTGAAAGTGAAAGTGGAAGGGTGTAAAACGAAACACCCCCGAAAGTGAATTTTAGTCTATTCTGTTAAAAATCGAAATTTACAGTAAATTAAATTAATTTCCTTATTGCAATCTATAATATATGTGTTAATCTATACATAACATAGAGTGAAATAAGTGATTTCACGCGTAACTTGATATAATTTCCAGCAATAATCTCTTAATTACCATAGTATTTGATGGAGATATATCATTCTATATAGGAAACTGTATACGTTTGTACTACTTGAATTTGAAGCAATATGTGGATATATCTATTCTATTGGGAAGCAATAATTGTGCATGTTTGAATGAACATTGACAGGCACCAATGGAGATGAAACTATTATGAGGGAGGCTCAGGCATTCTACGTATTTGGTTTATTGCATTAACTTGATTAGAACACGATCACGAACGAGACTGACGCTCCTACATAGATTGCAGCTAGTGCAGAATTGTCGAGTTAACATATGTATGTATATAATATGGAGATCAGGAGATTATCATTTTTTTTTTAAATAAAACTGATTTGTAGCTTCATTAATTCGTAGTTTCAATTACTTAGAATTTCAATTATTTTTAGTTTCAATTAACTGAAGATTCAAGTATTTGAAGTTTCAATTATTTGAAGCTTTAATTTTTTGTAGTTTCAATTAACTGCAAATTCAAGTATTTGTATTTTAAATTACTTATAGTTTTAATTATCTTTAGCTTTAATCAATTGTAGTTTCAGTTATTTGTAGTTGCAATTATTTTTCGTTTCTGACCAAATTGTAGTTTCAATTATTTATAGTTTCAATTAATTGCATTTTTCAATTATTTTTAATTTCATTTAATTTATAGCTGCAATTATTTTTAGCTTTAGATCAATAGTGTAGTTTCAATTTTTTTTTTTGTAGTTTCAATTATTTTAACATAATTGTTTAAGTACAAAAAACAAACGACATATTAATTGAAAAATAATTATCAAATTAATTTGCAACGTCAGAAATTGTAATGAATGAAATTTTGTATACCATGTAAAATATAAGACGTGAATGAATAAGGTGTAAATTAATCTTGTCTGGCCATAACGTGACTTGACTACTTAATTCAGTCAACGAACGTGTTCTTGTCTCTATTAAATGGTATATCAGTTTCAATCCTTGTGGACCTGAATGTGATTTAAGATTTAAGCAATATATAATGCTTTTTATTTAACACTGAAATTAGTGGTCATTAATTTTTCAACTAGGTCATTAATTTTACAGAAAATATATACTGTGACGAAAGTAACGAGAAGAAAGAGAGAGAGAGAGAAAAGAGAAAGAGAATGTCTCGTTAAATCGGATAAGTTAAACCAATAAATGAATGTGAATTATTACTGTTCAAAAATGTCGATCGATGGGACATTAATCGATATACGTTTATATACATCATTGGATACGCCATTATGGTTGATATATATATAAATATTATTAGTTGAAATTTCTCATTTGATTAATTTATCGCTCCATTAATTTTCTCTCTTTTTGCTGTATGAAAAATTATTATTTTTATTATATTTTTAATTAACTTATAAATACCCTTTTCCAATTTGTTTTCATTAAACCGATATATCACTTATCAACTAATTAAGTGTCAGAATATTTTACTTGAATGAATAATCGATTTTATACTAATTATATATAAATATTTTACTTTTTTGTTTGTATAATATTTATAAAATTCATCATTATTTTCTCTTTACGTTTATTCTATCTGAATATACATAGATGAAAAAAAGTTTATTATTTATAAAAAAGTGAATGTTTATTTTTTTATTATTTTTTTTATATGTTCCTATTTTTATAAAATAAAAAGTTGTAATAATTGTGTAAAAAAAGTATTTTTTAAAATTAATTTTCAATAAATGTACATCAAAAAAGCATTTCTCAGTCATGCGATTCTCTCTCTCTCTCTCTCTTTCTCTTTCTCTCTTATCTAAAACACGATCTTCACTAAATTTCCAGACATCTCGATGGTTTAATTTACTGAGGAACATTTCGCTGGTTCCGTGGTAACGATGGCAACGATTTTTAGCTGGTGAATTCGTGCTTACTCGACGATAAACCCACCACTTGATTCCGAGAATGGAGAGTTGAGAGATAGAGATACATCGCAAATGGAGGAATTAGAAAAAAAGGACACAAAATCAGAAAAAGTGAAATGAGGAATAAAAAAAAAAATGAAGAGTAGAAAGAGAAAAATTTTCAATTCTTATCATATGGCACTTAATTTCGTATATTTTGTTTTACACCGGAAATAGTTAATTCCTTAGAATGATAATGGAATTTAATAAAGCTCTGTATATGTGCTGTGTGCGCTATTCCTCTGCGACCAAACTTGCGGCACACGTTATTGCGTCTAACACGTCTTCCCTGTTAATTAGCCATTAAATATCAAACAGCCGGCATCGTACACAGATGGTATTTTGGTCTGTTGTGCGAGAAATGGCCAATTACGGATAACAAACCGAGTACGAACCGTGTATACATTCTTTCCATTCAGGCATCGTTAAGTAACTTAATGCTCAAACTGATTATATACACGAAATTAACACAAAATTTTCTCTACAATATCATTTATAAATAGTATATATGAGAAATAATATTTTTCATTAATTTCGATTTTGGTATTACTTTTTTTTTTAAATTTATGATAAATAATTAATTGCAGAAGAATTTTTTTTCAATAAATAAAAAAGTTTGTCTTTGCATTAATTTTGATTTTGTAATTACTTTTTTTTTGGAAATTAATAACAAATTCCTAATTGCAAATAAATGAATTATTTTTGCAATAAAGTAAAATTTGCATAATTTGTACTGTTCATTAAATTGCTTACCTCTGATATGTAGGTTGATGTGCTGCGGTTGTCGAGGTACTATTTTGGGTTGAAAGGGCAAGTTTTTGTTGCCTCTGTTGCAACATCTGACGACCAAAGACCCCATATCCAAAGCCATAGATTTCATCTTCCTCCTTGTCGCTCAGGCAGCTCGAGGGCTATGAACACAGAAATTGACAAAATGTTCCTTTACTTCATTTCTCGTATTTTGCTTACAAAGCATCGCTTTCTCTCTCTCTCTCTGTCCTTTTCTTGTGAATTGTGTGCAATTGATGACTAAGAAAACCCCAAGGGCTATTCCCCATGCGAATAATTCCGATATTACTTTCTTATTTCGATACAGTGCTTTTTCTTTAAAAAAAAAAAAGAAAAAAATTTCCTATATCAATCTTGAAAATTCGTCATATTCAATCATTTTTTTTACAAAGTGTACTTTAAGTCTATCAAAAAATTTACCTTTTTTTTATTTTCAATCGATTAGGAAAAAAGAAAAAATAATACTGACTTGTCTGACTGAAATATTTCTTAACTACTTGTACGAAAATTTGTTTGTCAAAAAAAAATCTGTCTGACTAAAAAATTACTTGTGCTAATTATTTTAAAAAATTGTACAAAATAATTAAAAACTACCTTCTGATTGAAACGTACTTTCACTACTTATTGAAGTAATTAAAAATCATTTTGTCTGAATAAAAATTACTTATATAAAATTTTTGACAAAACGGTACTTTTCTGTTTGACAAAAACAATTCTCTTACTTACTTGTTTAAACAAATAAAAATTGTTGTGCCTAATTGAAAGTTACTTTTGCTACTTCTTATTAAACAATTATAATAATTTGGAATTTTTGTCTGACTGATATATTCCTTATCTACTTATTGCGTGCAAAATTAAAAATGTTTTTCTCTGATTGAAAAATGTTTTTACTGCTTACTTATTAAAAAAAAAAAAATTATACTTCAAAATACTTTTGTTTTATGGAAACATTATACTGATTGCATCAAAATATTTCTGATAGTAAAAAAAAAATTACTGATTCTACTAAAATGTTAGATACGAATTTAAAATTACTTTTCATACTTATTAAGCAGTTAAAAAATTGTCTTACTGAAAAATTCCTTTACTACTTATTATGCAAATTAAAAATGCTATCCCTGATTAAAAATTTTCTATTTTCTATTTAACATTTTCTATTTAAATTAAAATTAAAAAACAAAAATTATAATTTCGAAAGAATTAAATTTTTGCGAATGAATTAATTTAAATGAATAAATTCAATTTTGTGATTGAATAAGTATATATGTAAGAGAGAGATTTTGCACAATTGAAAAGAAATCTTTGCTTGCATCCCGCTCGTCTTACATATATATATAGAGAATGTAAGTACGTCGAGTGCAATCGGAGTGCGAGGAACGGTTATAAATAGTTCGACTCTGTCACTTTGCACTCGACGATTTGAGCGCGCGTGAAGAAAAAGAGAAAGACTCAGCGTCAGAAGCAGAAAACTGGAATTAAAGAATCGCAGGAAGAGGAAGGCAAAGTGAGAGAAAAAGCAGAAAATAAAAAAAAAAAAATTTAACAAGAGGGTTGACTGAGAAAACGGGGGAAGAGTGAGAGGGAGAAAGAGACAGAGAAAAGTAGGGGAGGGGGTAAGGAAAGAGGTATAAAGTCAAAAAAAAAAAAAAAAAGAGAAGAGCGGCTCACCGAGTATTTCCCTGGCACGTAAATGGGCTGTGAATGACTGGTGGTGAGCTGAGTGTTGGGCATTCTCGGTGAGGCATTTGTTTCGCGGCGCCGTAGCTCCTCAAGCGGTTCCAGGACATCGCCGTAATGCGTTCTGAAGAGGTCTGCATACCTTGAAGCAAGTCCCTCCAAGTATCCCCGTTCACCCTCCTGAAACAAAGGTACCAATGATATAGACCGAAATGTCGAAAAGGGTTTTATATATATATACTCGCGGAAATGCTAAATGGAATGTTAAATAATGAGCAAAGTATTCTGCTAACATCAAACAAAATTCATTTTCTTTTATCAGAAAAAAAAGTTTACTAATTTTAATTATTCTTTAAAATAAATAAATTATATATATATTTAAATAATTTTTCAATTATTTATACAACAAGTTTTTGTTGATTAAAAAAAATCAATTTCTTTGGTTTGAAGCAAAATTTCTTTGGATTCCAAGAAATTTATGTTTTAAATTTACAGAATTATTTCTTTGACTTTAGATATATGAAAATTTAAACAAAATAAAATTAATATGCAAAAAAATAAAATTTGTTTAAAACAAACACAAATTATTGTAGCCAAATAAAAAATTTATTTAAACTAAGTAAACATTGTTGGTTTCAAATAAAATTTATTGGATTCAAATAAAATTTGTTTAAAAACAAATAAAATTAGTTTCTCTTAGAGAAAAATATTTTTTTTTTCTCTGCATGTATAGCAACCCAGGTAGATAAATTAACATTACTAACGTTACTAATATTACTAACGTTACTAATATTACTAACGTTACTAATGTTACTAACGTTAGTACCTATAAAAAAATTAAGAAAATGTTTCTAAATTGTATTTTTGCAGAAACTTTGCCTTTCTAATTCTCATTCCCATTTTCACTTCCACTTTTTATAATTTTCATGCCCATTTTCACTTTCACTTTTTTATTTACATTACCACTTTCACTTCCACTTTTTCTAATTCTCATTCGCACTTCCATTCCCACTTCCACTCTTTCTAATCCTCATTTCCACTTTCACTTCCACTTTTTCTAATTTTCATTCCCATTTTCACTTTTTTATTTTCATTACCACTTCCACTTTTTCTAATTTTTATTCCCACTTCCTTTTTTCTAATTTTCATTCCCACTTCTACTCCCATTTTTTCCACTTCTAATTTTCATTAGCTGTTGCCATTTCGACTAAAACTCTTTCTAATTTCTATTTACCTAACCATTTCCACTTTTTTTAATTACCATGGATGGAAATTAGAAAAAGTGAAAGTGATAATGGAAATTTAAAAAATTAGGAATGGAAGTGGGAGTGAAAATATAAAAAAGTTGTAATGAAAATAAAAAAGTGAAAGATAAAATGGGAATGAAAATTGAAACAAGTGGAAATAGGAATGAGAATGAAAATTAGAAAAAGTGGCAGTAGCAATGAATATAAAAAAGTGAAAGTGGAAATGGGAATAAAAATTAGACAAAGTTGAAGTGAAGTGGGAATGAGAATTAGAAAGAGTAGAAGTGAGAATGGAAATGCGAATGAGAATTAGAAAAAGTTTAAGTGGAAGTGAAAGTGGTAATGGGAAAGTAGTGGCAAAGTTTCTGTGAAAATATATTTTAGAAACTCTTAATTTTTTAATAGGTACTAACGTTAGTAACATTAGTAACGTTAGTAACGTTAATTTTTTCACCTGGGAATTTAATTAAAATACATAAATAATTGCATAATAAAATAAAATATATCGTGAATAAATTATTAATTCTAAATAGAACTTTAAAAAAATTACTCTTCTTTTTTCTCAATGTTCTTGAAAAATCATGAATTTTAGAAAAATTGTAACCCTAAAGGACAAATTGGAAAATTTGATCTTCTTTTATTCATACCCTATGTATTTATATCTATAAACATGACCAATATTTGAGACATAAGTGCGATGGTAAAATTGTCTTATTTCGAAAGAATGTCTTTTAAAATTTCACGTTTACTATATATATATATACACACTAAAAAGTTAGCCGTTTATTGTTTTTATCAGAAATCTAATAATACTCTGTCACTATAAATTTTTTCCCAAAACATTGCAGAAATGTTACCAAAAAGAAAAAAAAGAAAAAAAAAACTTTACTCGCCTCCTTCATTCTCCTTCTCTCATGCACACCTATCGTCATAAATTTTCCCCAAAAGCAGTAAACTTTATACTGCGATAGCGAAACATGCGGTGTGATCTAATTTACTGCCGAATTATTATTGTTGTTATTATTAAACTGTAGCCAACTTTTGAAAAAAAAGTGTCATATTTTCATCGTTTTTTTTTGTGAAAAAATTATAAAAAAATTATTTTATTTTTATATAAAATTTTATTTTATTTAAAATAACAAAAAATTGCAGCTATGATTTGGAATTTGCTATACTTAAAAAGCGACACGATTAATTAACTATATTAATTTAAATCAAACCCCATTTTATATTCGTTTTCAATTTATTATGCAAAAAAAAAAAAAAATGTATTTTTATACTGTCACTTTTGTGAATTGGAAAAATATTCTTTAAAATTCATTAAATTTTTAACAAGCAAAAAAAAAGAGTTTTTTTTTTGTATGGAGGAAAATTAATTGAAAAATCTTTAATGAATATTTTTCATTATTAACGCAAATTGTAAAATATTTAATTATTTTCTAAAGTGTTATAATTATTTTGTGAATATTAAATTATGGATTAGTGTTTTTTTTTCCACCCCCCAACAAGATTACTATTTTCAAGCATCAAATGCGGGACAACTTTTTGTATCATGCATTTGAGACATGAAATAATCATCAAAGCCTTGTAGCCTCTAGAGGCAACTCGTCGACAAATTGAAAATGAAAAGATTCTCTTAACACTTTGTCGCAGTATCTTGGGAAAAGAGAAGCGCATCGTTATGCGAAGCCTTGGTATAAATCGAAAGAGACATTTCTACCTGTTTCCGATAGAAGACACCATATACACTTGTGTGTATGTATATATATATATATATTTATTTAGAAAAAGGTGTGAGGGAAATGGTCTCGTTGTGTGTGGGTGAAAAAAAAGAAAGTAAAAGAAAGATTGGGTCTGGGCTTAAGGGCAGCTCGAAGGAAGAGAAAAGAATAGAGATCAGATGTGGCACGAAAAAGAGATGTTTTGAGAACTGGAGTCACATTAATATTTCAAGGTTTCCACTTCTCTTTCTCCTTCTTTCAATTTTCAATTGAACTCTCCAACTCTCAAGGAAGAGGAACTATATCTCTCTCTCCATTATTGCTTTGACCTTTGTCTCGTGCTATTCAACTCTTTCTCTATATTTACACTTTAAACGGGGGGTTTTTTTTTTTATTTATTGACGCTTGCTCAATTTTATCGTCTTTATATTTATTTACAAGTGGAATTCAATACTGATTGTATAAATGAATACATACACAGATATATATATATATATAATCAGAGAAAAGTTTTCTTTAAACCAAATATATTTTTGTGTATTATCACAATTTTTTTTTTTGGTAATTTTAAACTAAATTTCTTTGATTGAAACAAAATTTTTATTTAAACCCAAATACAATTTGTTTGAAACGTATAAAATTTATTTAAACTAAATACATATTTATTTAAATGAAAAAAAAATTGTTTCAGTCAAATAAACTTAGTAATTGATGCAATCAAAATTTGGTTGTCACAAACAAATTGTTGCATTGCTGTAGCATTATTGGATTTCGTGAAAATTAAAACCCCTTGAAGACTGCATATAGAGAAATTTTTTATATTATGCAGCAACTTTTAAAATTTCAAGCTCATTTTCACATTGACGTTAAAAGCTTTCCGATAATTCATTTGATTGGCAGCTTACTAAGCGCTTGAGCTTTTATGTTACTGATCGTATTGAGCAATTTTTTTTTAAACATTTTAAATATTTAATATTTTATCGCATATTTTACATTTATCTGTTATTGATATATGAGAATCTTAAGTTGACAAAATATTGAAAGAATGAATTTTTTTTATGCAGAAAAAAATCAATCTACATAAGCTGCTCATATTTTTTAGTGTCTGACGAAAACATTCTTTTACTACTTGTACGACAATTTTAATTTTTTTTTATAGTTTTGTCTGACTACATCATTCTTTTAATACTTTATAAATGAATTAAAAATGAATCACACCGCGGATTGAAAGTTAGTTTCGTCTATTATTTTTAAAAAATTTAACAAATTATTACAGTTTTATTTAAATAAATTATTTTCATTGTTAATATTCATCTGTCTCATTGAAAATTATTTTAACTGACATAATGAAAAATTTTAATAATTAAAAATAATTTTGTCTGACTGAATATATATTCGTTCGCTACTTATTACAGCCAATTAAAAAATATTATGTCCGCAAATCACTTTTGCTGCTGCTAAAAAATTAATTTAAAATAAAAATTATTTAAAAAATTTTAATAAAATAAAAATAAAAACTATTTACTATTTATATTGACAAAAATTTATTCAAATGTTTCTACTATTAATTAATAATTCTTAATTTTAATGAAGTTATTTATCTCTTTTTTTCTTAATGACTTTTAGATCCTAGCACGACAAGAAGTTGTGCAATTTTTTTTTCTAGACGTATTTTCCTTCTCTTCTCGAAGATATTTAATAGATCAAGGAGAAGAAGAAGAAGGGTGAATTTAAGCCCCCCTTTTGTGAGAAGAGGGTTTGACTGGAAAACGTCAAGTCTTTGATTACGATATAATTTATCTCGATGGAATTCCATGAGATATTTCTTGTGAATAAAAAGACATTAAAGGGAAAATTGAAATGAAGAGAAAAGCATCAGCATAGAGACGATGTCATTCCTTCTTATTGATAACCCGCATGACTATTAATTAGAATTCCAGATCTTTCGAATTTAATTCGGCTGGGGGTTTTGTCGCGTGTTTTTAATAATCCTCCTCTTAAAGTATTTCTATCAATATTTCTTTAAAAATAATTTACAAATTTGAAAATTAATTCGCCTCCCCTCTCTCCTTTTTTTCTAAATTAATAAGCAGTGGACCACGTTTTGTTTTTCGTGTAAATAATAATAATAATAATAATTATTATTTTACAGAAAAAAAACAGGAAGTGTTCCATTCACTCCTGTATTTACTAAAATAGGAGGAAAAATAAA